TGCTTTGGCTATTCAAGGTCTTTCGTGATTCCATACAAGTCTGATGTTTTTTTAAGATATGTTTTTATTAATTTCAGAGAGAGGAAGGGAGAGGGAGAGAGAGAAATAGACACATCAATGATGAGAGAGTCATTGATCGGCTGCTTCCTGCTCGCCCCCAACTGGGGATCGAGCTCACAACCCAGGCATGTGCCCCGACGGGAAATCAAACCACGATCTCCCGGATCCTAGGTGGATGCTCAACCACTAAGCCACATCTGCTGGGCCAAATCTGATGATTTTTTGTTCTACTTCTCTTTAAAAAGTCATTGGGATTTTGATGGAGATTGCATTAAATTTGTATATTGCTTGGGGTAATATGGCCATTGATTCTTCCAATCCATGAACCCAGAATATCTTTCCATTTTATTATGTCTTTTTCAATCTTTTTAAATAATGCTTTATAGTTTTAAGTATATAGGTCTTCACATCCTTTGTTAAGTTTATTCCTAGATATTTTACTCTTTTTGTTGCAATTGCAAAAGAAATTGTGGGGGGGCTTTTCATTTCTTTTTCTGAAATTTTATTGTTAGTGCATAGGAGTGAAGTCGATTTTTGTACAGTAATTTTGTATCCTGCAACTTTACTGTATTTGTTTATTGTTTCTAATAGTTTTTTGGTGATATCTTTAGCATTTTCTATATACAGAATCATGTCATCTACAAGAAGGGACACTTTTACTTCTGCATTCCCAATTTGGATGTCTTTTATTTCTTTCTCTTGCCTGATTGCTCTGGCTAGGACTTCCAGTACTGTGGTAAATAGAATGGTGAGAGTGGACATCTTTGTCTTTTTCCTGATTTTAGAGGAAAAGCCCCCAGTTTTTCACCATTGAGTACGATATTAGCTGAAGGTTTGTCATGTATGGCCTTTATTATGTTGAGGTACTTTCCTTCTAAACCTATTTCATTGAGTGTTTTAATCATAAATGTTTCATCTTATTAAATGCTTTTTCTGCATCTATTGATAACATCATATAATTATTATTCTTTGTTGTGTTAATGTGATGTATTACATTGATCAATTTGCATATGTTGAACCATCCCTGTGCCCCTGGAATGAACTCGACCTGATCATGATGTATTACTTTTTAATGTATTGTATTCAACTTGCTAGTATTTTGTTTAGGGTTTTCACATCTGTATTCATCAGAGATATTGGTCTGTAGTTTTCTTTTTTTGTGTTATCCTTGCCAGGTTTTGGTATCAGGACTATATTGGCTTCATAAAATGTATTAGGAAATATTTCCTTTTCTGTAAGTTTTTGGAAGAATTGAGAAAGATAGGTATCAAATCTTCTTTGAATGTTTGGTAGAATTCACTAATGAAGCCACCTGGTCCTGGACTTTTATTTTGGGGGAGGTTTCTTATGATTGTTTCAACTTCCTCACTGTTGATCAGCCCATTTAAATTGTACTGTTCTTCATGATTCAGTCTAGAAAGGTTATATATTTCTAGGAACTTATCCATTTCTTCTAGGTTTAGTGGCATACAGTCTTTCATAGTATTCTGGTATGATCCTTTGTACTTCTGTGATGTTTGTGGTAACTTCTCTTTCATTTCTGATTTTGTTTACATAAAGTTTTTTCTTTCTTTTTTTCCTTAGTGAGTCTACACAGGGGGTTGTCAATTTTATTACTCTTTCAAAGAACCAGCTCTTTGTTGTATTACTTTTTGTGTAGTCTTTTTGTTCTCTACTTCATTCAGTTCTGCTCTAATTTTTATTATTTCCTTTCTTCTGCTGACTTTAGGCTGCTTTTGTTCTTTTACTAGTTCTTTAAGATGTGATGTTAGGTTGTTTATTTGAGATTTCTCTTGTTTCTTGAAATAGGCCTGTAATGATAAAATTTTTTGTTTACTGCTTTTGCTGCATTCCAGAAGCTTTGATGTGTCACATTATCATTCTTATTTGTCTCTATATATCTTCTGATCTCACCTTTTATTTCTTCTTTGGCCCAGTCACTTAGTAGTAGTATGTTGTTTAATCTCCACATATTTATGGGGTTTCTTACTTCCCTTTTGCAGTTTATTTATCATTTCAAAGCATTGTGGTCAGACAATGTGCTTGGTATAATTTCAATCTCCTTAAATTTGTTGAGGCTAGTTCTGTGACCCAACATATGGTCTATCCTTGAGAANGTCTCCTTAAATTTGGCTAGTTCTGTGACCCAACATATGGTCTATCCTTGAGAATGTTCCATGTGCACTGGAAAAGAATATATAACCTGATGTTCTGGGATGAAAGGCTCTGTAAATGTCAACTATGTCCATTTGGTCTAATGTGTTATTTAAGGCTGATATTTCTTTGCTGATATTTTGTTTGGATGAACTGTCTAGAGCTGTCAATGGAATATTAAGGTCCCAACTATGATTGGGTGTTTGTCTGTTTCTCCCTTTAGTTCTGTTAGTAGTTGCTGTACATTTTTCGGTGCTCCCTGATTGGGTGCATATATATTAATAAGTTTTATGTCTTCTTGAGGTGGTGTCCCCTTTATCATTATAAAATGTCCACCTTTGTCTCTTAAAATCTATTTTGTCAAATATAAGTATGGCTACACCTGCTTTTCTGTGGGTATTTGCTTGAAGAGTCATTTTCCACCCTTTCACTTTGAGTCTAACTTAGCCTTTGCAGCTAGATTTGTCTCCTGAAGGCAGCAAATGGTTGGGTTGGCTGGGTTTTGCTTTTTGATCCAATCTGCTGCTCTGTGCCTTTTTACTGGTGAATTCAGTCCATTTACATTTAGGGTAATTATTGATGTATGAGGATTTCCTCTCACCATTTTATCTTTTGTTTCCTGGTATTCTGTGCATCCATTGGTTCTTTTCTTTTGTGTTTCTGTCTCTTGTTTTTGTTTGTCAGTATTCCGTACTTTTTTCCTCTGTTTCTGCTTTTTTTAAGTTGTGTGTCTCAGTTTTGGGGCTTTTAGTGTGTGGTTACCATTAAGTTTATGAAAAGGAAAGTTTCATATACCCATTAATTCTTTTTCTTTTGAATGCATTTGATCTTCTTCATCCTTTGCAAATTCAGATCCTTACCCCTCCCCTTCTATGTGTTTGTTGTCACAAATTATCCCTGCTTATGCTGTGAGTTCATTGGTGATCTTACTCATAGTTTTGTGACCTTTTGTTCTTTGTTTCAGGTAGAATAACTCCCTTCAGTATTTCTTGCAATGAAGGACTTCTGGTGGTAAATTCCCTCAGCTTTGGTAAAGTACTCATTTTGTTCACTGATTTTATTTCTGAGTTTATTAAACTGCCTATCTGTGTTTGCTTGCATCTTGTTGAGTTTTTCAGAACTGCTATCTTAAAGTCTTTGTCATTTAAATCACATATTTCCATGTCTTTAAGTGTTGTTTTTCTGAAGACTTTTCATTTTCTTTCTGAGCTGCCTCATTACCTTGGTTACTCATGGTATTTGATGAATTCCTCTCTGTCTAGGCATCTATGTAGAAGTGGCATCTCTCTAGTATATCAATAAGGAGTCTTTCTAGTCTCCAGTAGCTGGTGCTAAATCACAAGTTTTTAGCTCTCCTGCACTTCTCTGGCTTTCCAGATCTCCACAGCATGGTGGAAAATGGCCTGTGTTCCCTGGAAGGTGGGCACCACCCCTGTGATCCAGTCATTCCGGCAGTCCCAGGGTACCAACCTCTAGGAGAATACGGTGGGAGATGAGGCTTCAAATCCATGAAATCCCAGTTCTGTTTTCTGCAGCCAGATTGCTTTAGCAGTTCAGGTGCAATGTGTGGGAGTAGGGTGAGCTGGGGGAAACTGGCTGCCTTCTTTTGCTATGCTCCCCCAGCAATGGCAGCCAGTGGACCTCCACAGTGTTCCCCTTGAACCCCCACGTGGCCCTGGGATTAGTCACAGAGTGTGCTCTTCACTCAGAAAAAAAAGTGTTTCTCTAGTACCAGTTCTTTGATTTGCAGATAATATGTTGTGCAACCTGACACAAAGGGTGAGGGGAGGCAAGCTCTGCGAGATTAAGGGAAGGTGGCCAGGCTCCATGGTTTTGTTTCTCTGTCTGAAAGGCCAATTACCAGACCACCCTGGCCTCGCCTCTGTGCTTTGTCCCTGCTCAAGTCATTGGAATCCACCAACAGTTCATACTACCTACTCCTGCAGTAATCCTTGCTAAATCTCTTTGCTCCTCCTGGGTGATGGGCATGCCATCCACTACCTGATTCCTCCCCTCTCTGGGATGAGCCCCACAGTGAACTGAAGGCTGCAGGGTTGTGTCCATGGCTCCTTTGAACTCTTCTCCCTTCTCACCTTCCCAGTTCACTCCCATTTGCCCATGTTTAGATGTTTCAATGCATAGGTCTCTCAGATATGTTTGTGTGTTGAGCAGGGAACCCTTTGTTGAATTATAACTGTTCAGCCCTGGCTGGTGTGGCTCAGTTGGTTGAGCATTGTACCATGCACCAAAATGTCACTGGTTTGATTCCCGGTCAGGGTACATACCCAGGTTGTGAGTTCGAACCCCTGTCAGGGTACATATGGGAGGCAACCTATCAATGTTTGTCGCTCACATCAGTGTTTCTCTCTCTCTCTTTCCTTGTTCCTTCCTCTCTCTCTAAAACCATATGTTGTTCTGTTTTTTTAAAAATGCAACTGAATTGTAACTGTTCAAATTGCTGAAACTTCAAGAGGAGAGACCAATGGGGATCTCTCACACTACCATTCCTCTGAGGTCACTCCAAGATTTCTTTAAGACCAAAAGAAAATGAAATTTAACTGGTGATGTCCACTGACAAAAATAGTTAAAGCAGTCTGGAATTGTAAGATAATAAAGAATCAGGGCCAAAGAACTCATTCAGAACAAGGCATGATTTATTCAAGACTTGTTTTAGAATATTCAATACATTTGCCTGCATGAACCAAGCTCCCTATCCTAAGAAAAGTTTCAAATGCGTTAGCAGCAAAGTGACTTTTCATTATCTGTCTTCTCTCCACAGTCTGGAGACAATGAATAAGTCAGGAATGTCTACTGTGACACAGTTTGTCTTGATGGGCTTTCCTGGTCCCTGGAAAATGCAAATCCTCCTTTTTCAATGATTTTGTTCACCTACGTCTTGACTCTGACTGGGAATATGGCCATCATTTGTGCAGTGAGGTGGAACAACAGACTCCATACCCCTATGTACATTCTCCTGGCTAACTTCTCCTTCCTAGAGATTTGGTATGTCACCTGCACAGTCCCCAACATGCTGGTCAATTTTCTTTCCAAAACCAAGACCATATCCTTCTCTGGTTGCTTCATTCAATTCTTTTTCTTTTTTTCCCTGGGCACAACTGAATGCCTCTTCCTCTGTGTCATGGCTTATGATCGATACCTGGCCATCTGCCATCCATTGCACTATTCCTCCATCATGACTGGACAGCTCTGTGCCATCCTGGTGTCTTTTTGTTGGTTCGTTGGTTTCCTTGGACATTCAATTCCCATTATCTTCATTTCTCAACTACCTTTTTGTGGTCCCAACATCATTGACCACTTTCTCTGTGATGTAGGCCCACTGATAGCATTATCCTGTACCCTTAGACCCATCATAGAGCATGTATTCCATTCTGTGAGCTCTCTTATCATCATTTTCACCATGTTGTACATCCTAGGATCATACATCCTGGTGCTCAGAGCTGTGATTCGGATTCCTTCGTCAGCTGGGCAGCAAAAGGCCTTCTCTACCTGTGGATCCCACTTAGTTGTGGTTTCTCTGTTCTACGGAACCATAATGGTGATGTATGTAAGTCCCACATCTGGCAACTCAGTTACTATGCATAAGATCATCACACTGATATACTCTGTAGTGACACCACTCCTAAACCCTCTCATCTACAGCCTACGTAACAGGGACATGAAATTCGCCCTCCGTCAGGTCCTTTGTGGAATGAGAATTTTCCAAACTTCATGAATAAGTTTTGTAAAACCCAATGGCTCTCTGTCTCCAAGTGGAAGAATAATCGTATTCTTCCACCTCAGTTGACTTGGCTTTACTTATAACCATCACAGTCCTTTTGTGCAAAGCAAAATTCATCGTGTATTTGATCGTTTTTGACACACTTTTAGTTTCATAAATTTATTTCCATGGGAAGAGATTGCCACCAGGCACATGGTAAAAAAATAATTCTTAGCTCAGGCGGTCATGGCTCAGCGGTTGAGCATCAACCTAGGATCCAGGAGATCGGGGCTAGATTCCCAGTGAGGGCACATGCCCGGGTTGTGGGCTTGATCCCCAGTCGGGGGTGTGCAGAAGGCAGCTGATCAACGACAACTCTCTCATCATTGGTGTTTCAACTCTCTCTCCCTTCCTCTCTCTGAATCAATAAAGACATTTAAAATAATAATAATTCTCAAAAATCTCAATANCGGTGTGCAGAAGGCAGCTGACCAACGACAACTCTCTCATCACTGGTGTTTCAACTCTCTCTCCCTTCCTCTCTCTGAATCAATAAAGACATTNGGGTGTGCAGAAGGCAGCTGATCAACGACAACTCTCTCATCATTGGTGTTTCAACTCTCTCTCCCTTCCTCTCTCTGAATCAATAAAGACATTTAAAATAATAATAATTCTCAAAAATCTCAATATTTACTTCCAGGAAGGTTTTTACTTTTTCAATGTGCAATCTGTTTATACAACTTTATTAAGAGATATAAATCAAATTGGTTATTTGCTTACATGGCTGTCTAACACTCTGTTTCAAAGACACATAACAGATAAAATGCTTGTTGTTCTAAGTTTTTGGCAGAAACCCCACACATGGATATTGGACACACTAAGAGCTTGTAGAGCCAGTTTTACAGTCCTTAGCTCATTGTCATCATCAACAGTGTACGGGGAGACTGGAAGTTTGATTGAGGCCACGAGTAAAGTATCCTTGATGAGTTGTTAGTATGTAATCCCTTAAGGTAAATGAGAATTACATCACGAGAACCACTTAGAAGGTTGGACCTTGTTCCCTGGAGTTCTAAGGACCCTCCACTGTCCCTGATTGACACCTGGAAAAAAATGTAAATACTATAAAAGAGCTGGCTCTGGGGGCAGGACAGAATGGCCTATAAAGGAGCAAACTGAGCTCCCACCAAAAACAGAGCAAATATAGGATACCCACAATTGGCCAGCCCAGTTAGAGCTCAAGGAAGAGAATCACTTTGCACCATCTTGAAAGGGATTCCACCCAAAAGTACCGCTTAGTAAAGTAAGGTCCCCCCAAAAGTGAGCCTATATGGAGTGAGGCACCAGAGTCAGGGATGAAGGCAGTCCTAAGTAGCCGGCCAAAGAAGCATTGCCCACACCAGGGAACTGCAGTTTAGGGAGTTCCTTGCCCCCCCAAAATAAATGCGGGGGAAGAGACGCAAAACCACCAGCACGAGCATTTCCACGGCGCTTCCAAAGATTCAAACTCTCCGACCCAGGCAGGGTTTGCCACGTCGCCCTCAAGAAAATGTTAGGGGCAGGGAGAGAAGGAAACGTTAAAAGTGTTCAAATCACATTAAAGATGAAACAGCAAGTTCCTCACTCGCTGGGCGCACCCGTGTCTCTGGCGGAGGTTCTTCTGCCCCCCAGGGAGTGGAGCTGAACCCGCGCTCGGCAACCGCAGGCTCCCGGGCGCCACCGCGAGGAAGCCGAGGGATAGCGCAGCCCGGCGGGGACCGCACGCTGTGTTCGGGGCTGCGCTCCTCTCCTGCCAGGGCTGCTCTTGGCGTGTTGTGTAACTCTTAAATTGGATTAGAAGGAACATACCTAAACATAATAAAGGCCAAATATGACAAGCCCATACTAAACATCATACTCAATGGTGAAAGGTTGAAAGCTTTTCCTCTAAGATCAGAAACAACACAAGTGTGTCCACACTCACTATTTCTATTCAGCACAGCACTAGAAGTCCTAGCCAGAGCAATCAGTCAAGAAAAAGAAGTAAAAGGCATCAAATTTAAAAAGGAGAAGGTAAATTGTCTTTGCAGATGACATGATCTTATATATAGGAAATCATAAAGATGGCACCAAAAAACTGTTAGAACTATCAACAAATTCAGTAAAGTTGCAGGAAATAAAGTTAACATATAGCTCAGCCGGGCATGGTTCAGTGGTTGAGCATCAACCTAGGATCCAGGCAATCGGAGTTCGATTCCCGGTCAGGGCACATGCCCGGGTTGCAGGCTGCAAATGATCAATGACTCTCTCATCATTGATGTTTCTCTCTCTCTCTCTCCCCCCCCTTTCCTCTCTCTGAAATCAATAAAGATATATTTAAAAAATTAACACATAGAAATCAGTTGCATTTATATATATTTAATCAAAGAGGTAAAACTATAAGATTTTAATGAAAGAAATTGAAGAAGACACTAATAAATGGGAAGATAGTCCATACTTGTGGATTGGAAGAACTAATATAGTAAAAAATGTCCATAAAGCTCTCAATAGATTCAATGCAATTCCTACAAAATTCCAATAGCATTTTTCACAGAAATAGAAACAACTTAAAATTTGTATGAAACCGCAAAAGATTCCAAATAGTCAAAGCAATCCTGAGAAAGAACAACAAAGCTGGAGGCATCACACTTCCTGATTTCAACTATACTACAAACTACAGTAATCAAAACAGTATGGTACTGGCATAAAAATAGACACAGACTAATGGAACAGAATTGAGGGCCCAGCAATAAACCCTTTCATATATAGTCAACTAATATTTCACAAGGAAGCCAATGGGGAAATGGCAGTGAGTGTCACTGAATACCACTAGCAGTTCACTCATAAGTGGCCCAGTAACCATCATTGAAGATTTTCTCATTGATCTTCACTGTCACCTCACTCCTAGGGAAACCTAGGAGTCATAATTTAAAGAAGTGGTTTAAGAGGACCCTTGGAAGCAACCCCATTTTTTTTCGAATTAAAACAAAAGATCAATGATTAAAAAAAAATTCTCACATTTGCGCTGGTTTCAAATTCCTCACTCTTTGAAAGTGAAATCAGAGTAGAAACCAACAATTTGACTAGATTAGTTAATTAAATGGCTTCTGCCATCTTGGATTTCTTTCCACACCAATTTTTGTCACTCCACATCATGATCAGATCACACAAGGCAGTTCCTATCTAGTACCAACCTCCTAGTCATCACAGTAAAAGAGTCTAGGAAAATTTAATGGATTTAATTTTAAAGTGACTGACAGAATATAATTTCCTATTGTTCTGTGTTGTAACATTTCATTTAAGCTGGAGAGGAAATGTTCACAAACATGTCTCAGTTTCAGAATTAAGAGTCATGGGCAAAACTTCCATTTATTGTGCTGATCCCCAGAGGAGGTGATTCCTCAATGGAATGCAATCTCTGCAATAGAAAGCCTCCTAAAAGTTACCTAGTATTTCCCCTGCCTTTTGTTTTCTTAACTCTGGCCACCCCCTAGGAACTAGATGAGCCCCAAAGATTGGAGAGAATGCACTCCAGGGGACACTTGAAGAAGCCACTGAGACCACTTGGGGAGAGACATGGACTTTTAGAGTAATCCCTTAGAGGAGATATATATTAAACACGGCTTCACATGCTAAATGCCTCAGCAAACTCCTAGAACACAAGCATTTGGAGCCTCCAGAAATGAAGGACGTCTTATGAACCGCACAGCGTGTCCTCACCTGGAGTTGTCCTCATCAGAGCCAACGAGGAGGAGATGCCTTGATGTTCAGCACCACCGTGCCTGTCCCTCTCTCCAAGCTGAGCCAGCAAATCTATTGCTGTATGTAAGAGAAAAAAGACTAATTGTCCACATTACAACCCCTGCTGTGATGCACTGCAGGGTGCCTTTTCCTTTATAAACCTGATTAGTCATTGTTTCTCTGTAGTGGGATGCTGTGAACATTCCATATGTGAAAACAGGACACAATATTCACTGGGTAAAAAGTTGTGCACCCTCTGTGAAGCCTGTCTGTAAAATGAATAGTTAAAATAGATCGTCTGCGCCATTTTCCCCCAAATTCTATGATTTTGATTACTAGGGACATTTTTCTGAAAACAATCTCACACTTTCCAGGAGCAATCAGGGGGTACATTCTTCTCTCAGACTACCTGAGAAGACAGTATACCAAGTGAGGGACAGCTGGAAGAAGACTATTTTATCAAGATATTACTTTTGAGGTGAGTACATTGGTAAATTGATTGCTTGCTTGGTTGGTTTCTTATATTGGAAAGGAATATCTGAAAAAGCAGGTCCCCTAGGATTGTAGCTCTTACGATAATTTATGAATCTCAAAAGCATGAGAAACGGTATGATTATGGCATAAAATGGTGGGTATTTCATTCTAATACCCTAACTATTCCCAGAAAGTAAGTTTGGAGGTTTTGGAGGGCGGGGTTATGCAAAACTTGATAGAGTCGGTTTGTTCTATCAATGGTTAAAGTGAAAATTGATTACTCTGGCTTTTCCATGAAGCCCCTCACCCTTTGATCATCTCACTACTTATCTACACTTTCAAGCTACAGGAAAAATAATGTTGCTACTAATAAACCTTACGGGGTATGGTGGTAGGAAAGATGAAATGAGGTGTGAAGTTGTCAGTGTACACGGGGCGTCCTCAGCTGTTGCTCACCCTAAGCAAGCGCGGCCCGTGTGTCAGAAAGAGGGACCAGCAGCGCGGGTCTGGCGGATCTGCCTCCTGGTTTAACTCTGTGAGCCCGCACTTAGTTCATGGCCCGCGGCAGGGAAAGTGATTTATTTATACTTCACAAATAAGAGTCTGGGAATCATTTATTGAGCACTTATTCAGTGAAGATGGTTTAAAAAATGTCAAAAAAAAGTCTTTTGAATTCAACGTTGATTGGAAAATTGTACTTTAGAATTTGGATGTTCAAACCTCCTATTTTTTTTTTAATCCTCACCCAAAGAAAACTTCTTCATTGATGAGAGAGAGAGAGGAAG